AACTTATATGCATAATATTCATAACCCATGGACACAGACATTGGTATGGGGAAGGCCTGGGGGTGGGGTGGATGTAGGGTGGAGGGGACCAATGGGGGGAAAACGGGGACATGTGTAATACTTCCAACAATAAAGATAATTTTTTTAAAAAAAGAAAAGAAAAAGTGGTGGCGAGAAGAAAAAAGTGCTTGCCCTAGCCGGTGGCTCAGCTGGTGGGAGCATGGTCCCACGCTCCAAGGGGTTGCGGGGTTGCGCACGTACCTAGGCTGGGAGGCAGCCTGTAATGCTTCTCTCTTCGCCTCAATCTCTCTCCCTCTCCCTCTCCTTCCCCTCTCTCTGAAATCAATAAAGAAAGAAACATATCCTCGGTGAGGTTAAAAAGGAAAAAGGGAGTGCCGAATAAATGTTCACAAGATTGAATAATGCCAGGAAGACGGGATCTTGAACACAGTGCAGTAGTTAACAGCACAGATTCTAGAGCCAAAAGGCTTGGATTCACGTCCTAGCTTTTACAGTTATTAATACATAAACACCCCCGAGCTCCACACTCTCCCATGCAATTACGCCAGAAAACGTTAACGTCCCTGGATCTCAATTTCCTCACCGCGAAATGTAGACGCTAGTATAACCTTCTAATAGGGTTGTTGTGAGGATTAAATTATTTCAAATATGAAAAGTACTTAAATTGTTCCTGATATATAAGAAGTCTATTTAAGAATAAAATTCTGATGCTTGAAGTTTTTTGCCATGAATAATCAAAGCTCTTCAGAAAAGAAATGATGTTAGTAGGTCTTTGCTTTGATGAGAATTAAATCGAGTCTATAAAAATAAACAGGACTGAGAGAATATGAAAGAGAAGACCAACCAAGAGACAAATGTAATAGTCCAGGAGTAAAAATAGCATGGCTGAGCTTGAGTGTTGGCAGCAAGAAGGTGAACTAATTCAGGAGGCATTTCAATGCTAGTGTTTGTAGGATTTGGCAACTGATAGGAATATAAATATTAATTTACAAGTTACCCAATTGTCACAAAGGCATTTCCACAATCAGCTTACCAAAAGCTCATAGAGACAAAGTAAACTGGGAGAAAAGTAACATATAGCATTTCAAGTAGGAAGGAAGAGAAAGATGAGCGAAGTACCTAAGGAAGAGGAAAGGTAGAGACACAATAACAAGAGACGACCTAAGGGCATTTTGAGTCCAAAACCCACAGGGACCATAAATCTATAGCTGAAAATATAAGTCTGCAACTCTGGAAAGATTGGGGCTTAGATGTACTGGTCTGGGTCTCATCAGAATAGAGCATATGATGAAAGCCAACGAAAGGAAAGAGATCAATCAGGTCAAGTGTACAGGCGAGAGGAACACGGGCCAGCAGGCGAGAACTGCAGACGATGCTGAGTGTACAGAGCAAAAGCACGAGCGAAGAAGTGGAAAGGTGGGGAGCAGGGATGGGCAGTCACCGCAGGCAACCGAAAAAGGAGAGCCCAGTGAGTGCTGGACAAGAGCCAGCCTGAGAAGGAGCTTTCGCACGCATGGGCGGTCTGACTGCAATGGGTTAAGTGGTCAATGATAAGGAGGGAAGCAGCGTCAAAGGGCTGCTCTGGAAAAACTAAAGGTGAGGGAGCAAAGCAGCAAGGTCAAGCCAGCTTAGAATACAGACACGGACTAAAACATGGGACAGAAAGAGACGTGGGTACACTGGGGAGGAGAGGAACAAAGCCATAGACAGGAAAGAGCTGGTAATAAAAGCAAGAGAAGACCGATAGGGCAGAAATTTTAAAGATGGGATCTAGAACATACAAGGAAGGGATTACCTTGAAAAAAGAGGGGGAAATTTATTCCCATGAGACACAGAGGAAAGAAGTAAAGATATAGAAAAAATACTGAAGCCAAGGACAGGAAGCCTGACAAAGTTCATATAATACAATGTCAAGTTCATCAGTAAAGTATGGATTAGTGTTGACTGCTAAAACTACATGGCAGAGGTGAGGATTAGTTCTACTTGGGGCAACAGGGGAAAGTCAGCTATTGCTGAATATAAGTAAAAAGACCCAGACTGAGAGAAAGGCCAGAGAGGCTGGAAACAGAGGGACCACCATAGAGAACAGCGATTAGCAACAGGGCTCTGGAGTTAGAATGGGTCCAAAGCCCACCCCACCATCATCCCTCAGCTATGAAGCTTCAAGCAGGTTGCTTAACCTCTCTCTGTCTCAGTGTCCTCTTCTGAAAACTAGAGACGATGGTATTGTCTACCTCATATGACTGTTGTTAGGATTAAAGATATTAATAAACACAAACTGCTATAAATAATGCCTCACCCTCAGAGAACGCACACAGCCTTCTCCAGGTCACTTCATGCCCATTTAATGTGGTTGATCTCACAAGAAAGAAAAATATTTTTGAACTAATTTACACTCATGTGTAAATGACAGACCACTGGCCATACTTAAATTATTTGTATTTTAAAAGACACCTCTAACTGGCTTAATTAATTTCAGGCTTTATCATAAGAAAAGAGAAAAACAAAATAAAACGAATTCCAACGTGGTGTGTGGTGCAAGAAACAACTTTCTCAGTTCCCTTTCAAGATTCTGTATTATTACAGCCCCTTGCCTTTCTCTACTTCTCAATTTATCAACTCTTAAAAAATCAAGATCTCTGCCACACTGACCACAAGTTCCTATATCAGCTACAGAAGACTGAGGATAAACATATTTGTATATATGTGGGGTGGGGTAGAGGTGGGGTGGGTAAACACTATCTTATTAGGCATAATATTTTGGATTTACATGTCAAACTGCCTGTAATGGATACCAGCATTAGGGAATGGATGTAAGATGTCCTGACCAGTCTAGGAGGCTGCTGAGTCACAAAGTGGCCACATCTCTTTAAATTTTCCTCCAAGTATTAGAGAAATCCAAGTGTCTCAAGCCCCAGAAGCTTAAGCTACTGCATCTGTCTTTATGCACTTCTGCCTGTAGGATATCTGCAACACTTCCATGTTTACCATTTTCCATCATGTTGTATGCAATAATTATGCAAGTGTTTGCAAGAGAACATCACAAAGGATACATTTTAATAGAGTGTGTTACAGCCAGTCATTTTCCTTTGATGTCTCAAAGATCTGGAGGAGAGTTTATTTCCTTCTATTTAATCCTTTAGAAAACATTTGCAGAGTACCATTAACATAAGTAAACTCTTCAATATCCCTTTATCAAAACACCATTACCAGTTACTACACTCTGACTCATAACGCAATTGCCAAGGTGATCTTTCCCCAGTCCACAATTCCCAGTTTAAGCCTAGCCCATCATTTTTATACTCAAACACCTATATAGCCATGAGAGAGCAGCGTCATTTCTTCTGAGGAGTCTCAATGAGGAAGAGAGAAATCAGATATTCCTTACGAGGAACTACCTTCCCACTGCAGGACAACTGGCATCCCAACCTCCTTCCACACCCAGCACCAAATTCCAAGAGAACCCTGTAGCTTTTACAACATCCAAAAAAAATCCATAGGTTTCTCAATACTTACTATGTAGAAGGTACCTGCCCTGCTCCCACTGAGAACCTCTCTCAGTGATTTTAAAACATACATGTTTTTTAAACAGAAGCTGGTCCTGGGTGTTCTGAAATGGACCATATTTTTTAAGAACTCCAGCACTGAAATTCAGACCACTTGGACCCATATCTTGTGACTTCCTGGAGTATGAACTTAACCTTACTGTGTCTCTTTCTTCATCGTAAGTGGAGATGAAAATAATGTCTACCTCGTAGGGCTTTTTACAAGATAAGATGAAATAATACATCTAAAGTGGCTCGAAATTTGCCTGGCATCTAAGTACGAATTCAAATGGATTAAGTATTAACTATGATTTCCAATGTCAACTTACACAGTAGGTCCTTAGGCATTCTTTGTGGAATACTGATTTTATGAATCTGCCTAACTTTGTTCTACAAGGTTCCTTAAATGTAATAAGACAAGGTCATCAGATCAATTATCATTAGAGTTGGAGTATCCATTAATAAAATTCCTTTGAAAATGAGCTTGCCTGTGGAGGAATGAACCATAAATACAATGCATTAAATTTAGGCTGACCTTTATTTAGCTACATAGTTATTTCTTCTTTTTACTTGTCACCCCGGCATCAAAATCTGTTCAAGTATAAGATCAGCTACATAAAACTTGCACCTGTGTTAATAACCTTCAAGTGCCAGTCTGTAAGTTGATGCATTCCTATTAGTGGTCCTCACCTCATTAGAAGCCTGCTTTCACTGATAAAGGACCTCAGAGGTCAATAAAAATCTTAGGAAGAATTCTTTTTAATTTAACAGACAGGCGGTGTGTGGAAGCCAAGGGCTATACATGGTTGTATTCCACATGCCTGTAACAATTGCAAAGGCATCTGCAGAAGCCTAGCACTAAATCCCAACATGGTTCCTGCTGAAGAAACTATTAATTCTAATGCCAGGAAGAACTAAATACACATTTGATTGGATTTTTTCCCATCCAGATTTCAGAAAGCACTCAGAGTCATCAGAGTCATCTCAATAACTCCCGCAGAAAGAGCATCTCTATTAAACATCCAAGAATTTATACTGGTTTTAATATCCAATCTCATCTCACCTGATAAATAAATGAGCTGTCAGCAGCAGTGTCCTTTAAAAAAAGAATGCAATGTCATCCTTCCAACCTTTTTGACAGAAGTATCAATATTGAAACCTGAGATAAAACAGTTAAGCAATGTAAACAGTGATGTGATATTTCTGTTATTTTTCAGTATCTTCCAAAGGGATTATTTGGTCTTGTGTGCAGGGGTGACTCTATGGCTAATAAACCAACCCAGGGTCCACTTTAATAACGGCCCTTGTAAAGGTAAGAGTGAGGCTAGCCAGCAAGCTTGTTAAAAAGCAGCTTCTAAGAAAGGAAGGCTTATGCAAGCACAAGCTATCCAAAGTAAATGTGTTTTCTGAGATAAACTGGAGAGGAAAAGTCTAAATCAACCTTCTCTTCAAAAATAAGCAAGACACATCTTATCAATGCAAGAGAAATCACCTCCCCAGGAACTCCTTGCATTTCTGCCAAACATGTATTTACAAACTATGTGGCCGAGAAGTTCTGTGATGCCACCAACACCCTGGCCATGTCTCGAGATATAGCGTTGGTGCCACTTGCCATACCAGGCAGCAAACTGTGTGACAAGAATGAAACATAAAAATGCAGTCAACCCCAATAGAGTATTTTTTCCTACAAGAAAAAATAAAGTCCTGGAAAGATATAGATGGCTTTGCGTACTTATCTAAACCATTTTTCTATTATAAAAATACTAACATTTCAGAAAATAAAAGATGAAGTAAAAAACTAGCAAAGGAACAACGATGTTTAAATGGTCAAAATCCCCTGCTCTCTATTCCTAACTGCCTAGAGGAGAAAGGAAAAGCAGAATTAGCTCTGAGCAGAATTAGCTCTGGTTTCTCTCAGACAACTGGGTGATGATCCCCCTGATACTACAGAATTCAGTGCAAACTTCAGCCAGTCAAGGCGACCAGGCGATCTGCAAAGGCTCAGGCTTCCCCTGGGCTTCGCGCCACGCTTGACACAGTGACCAAGAATTAGCATCTCCTTGCCTTCATCACCTGTCACCTGGAAATGAAAGCATGCCCCGTCCTCAGAGGATGCCTTTCGGTCAGCTCCCCACTCTCCATTTCTCTCCTAGGGAGGCCAGCATCTGCGCGGCCCTGCATTCGGTCTCTGACATCCCCACCCTGGTGCCCCCCAAGCTCCTCACTCGGGCAGATGAGCCGGGCTCACCTCTCATCAAACCTGTGGAATAATCCACTCCCTCGGACTCAGAGATACTTCTCAAAAAAAGAAAAAAAGGAAAGAAACACATGTACTCGAACTCATCCTCTCTAGAAAGCACATGTCACGAAAACTCGCTGTTCGACATGATTTCATTCAAAACCCTTTCAGAAAAGTGGGACTTACTAGTCAATCGCTCTTCCAAACCAGGGTATTCACTGAAACACACGCAGCCACACGCACAGGCACTCGCACACTGCGCACACACGCGCACCCCCAAATCCAGGGGGAAATTCTTCCCGGCGCTGAGAAAGTATTAGCCAGGTGGAGAGCACACAGCCCCGGGCCCGATGGCGCGCTGGGGACCTGGTCCTGCCCGTTCCGCCTCGCGTCGCCCGCCGACCCCACTGGGTGCCCTCCAGCAGCCCAA